GCACCACACTCACCCAGTGAGCTAACCGGCCATCCCTATATAGGATCCGAACCTGTGGCCTTGGTGTTATAAGCACCGCACTCCCCCAAGTGGGCCACAGGCCGGCCCCAGTTTATTTATTTATTTATTTTTTATTTTTTAGAAACACAGTTTTATTATTTTCTACTACCTAGAGCACTCCAGCCAGACTGTGAATTCCCAAAGGGTGGGGCCTGTGTTTTCACTAGTGGATCCTAACCTGGTTCCTGACACACAGTAAGCACTCGATGAATGCTTGATCATACTAGCACGGTTAACTGGAGCTAGGCCAACAGATAATGCTTAATACCCTGTGTATAGTAGAGAACTACTTTTGTAGCACGATAGAACATTCAAGTAGGTATCCACAGCTATCTCACTATAAGATGCTTTGAAAGCTTTTATGCTCACACATTTTTTTTCTCTCATTAACATAAATATTCCCCTAGCAATCTTGCTAACTCTTTGAGTAGCAACTCCTTTGTGGATAACATAAAAACAAACCATCCTACCCTTTCTAATTGATCACAGGTTTTGTATTGCAAAGTAATAAAGTCTGACTTTTCTGAGAACAATGATAAATAAAAATAATTAGAAATGAGTAGTGTTCAAATCACCCAATATCGGAAGAAGACATGCTCTGGCTGGGTTAAATCATGCAACCACAAATACCACCACCCTGAAATCTCTACTTCCAGGGGAAATGTTCAGCTTGCACAGTGTTTGCTACAGCTGAACCAAACAAGAAAATATAGACCATTCATTGGATCTTATTATTATTAGAGATTTGTGTGATGTCCTACTTAGACCATGGCCTTAGGTGAAAGCCCATGTTGCCTCTCCCCCAAAAAGCACTGCTACAAGGCAAAGTAGGACTGTGCTCTGGTGGCCTGGCAGTGCCAGAGAGCTATAGCTGCTAGCCTGTGTTGCATGGTGCAGAGAGCTCTGGGCTGGGAGTCAGAAGACCTGGGTTCTTAGTTCCGGTTCTGCCTCCAAACTGTGAGACCTTTGGCAAGTCTCTTATATTCCCAGATTTCTCCTCATAATATGAGGGACATAGATGCAATTATCACTAAGATCTTGCCCAGCTTTAGCATTCTGTGGCTTCAAGTCCTAGAGTCAAAACGAGATCACAGGTTGAAGTTCAGCCAAGCAAAATTAGGCCATAAGGTGCTAGAGATAAGGAAACATCAACATGAAGACAACTCCTGCCTTAGCTAGGGAGCCTTTTCTATAATTTCCACTGAGTTACGTGAGTCATAAGAAGTGTCATCTCAAGCTGAAGACGTGCCTAGCATGATGTCTGGAACATTAAAGATATTTCATAAACTTAATTTCATTGACTGTTTAAATCCCCGATGGAAAAAATACCAGAAACTCTTTGAATATGAGACCCGAAAAGGATCGTAGGATGTCCTAAGGATATGGTCTCTGCCTATTAGAAACTTACAGTGATAGAAATATTTGTCAGGGCCGGCCCATGGCTCACTCGGTAGAGTGCAGTGCTGATAACACCAGGGCCACGGGTTTGGATCCCATATAGGGATGGCCGGTTTGCTCACTGGCTGAGCGTGGTGCTGACAACACCAAGCCAAGGGTTGAGATCCCCTTACTGGTCATCTTTAAAAAAAAAAAGAAATATTTGTCAATTTATCCATTGCTGTGGATTGAATGTCCCCCCAAAACTTAGCCCCCACTGTGGCAGTGTTAAGAGGGTAAGAAATGTTATTACGGTAATTGAAAGGTGGGGCATTGAAGAGGTGATTAGATTGTGAGGACCGTGCCCAAGTAAGTGAATTAATCCATTGATGGTGTAATGGTGGTCATGGGTGTGGTTCTGAAGGCTTTAAAAGGAGTATTAGCTCTGTGTCTTGTTCCTGCTTTTCTCACAGTGTGATACCCTGTGTCTCTGAAGTCACCACCAAACAAGGCCCTCACCAGATGCGTTCCCTGGACTTTGGACTTCCCAGCCTCTGAAACTATAAGCAATGAATTTCATTTTCTTACAAATTACCCAGTTCCAGGTATTTTGTTATAAGCAAAAGAAATGTACTAATATATCCATTGAGCAAGCAAGCATCTAGGGAGCACCCAGTCTAGACCAAATATTGCACTAAGTCCTGCATATAGAAAGGTGCTCACAAGGAAATCATTATTTGGACATCATTACGTATAAATATGAAAATAAAATTTTATTTTGTAATAATTTAATAAGTGTAAAAGGAAAAAGCAGGATTAAAAAAAACTTGATGAAGATCTAGTTTTTGATAGGCACTGTGTTAGAAATTTAAAATGTAGTACATCTGAAGATCTAGTGTCTTATTTTAAATTTTCCACCGTATAATGAACAAACTGAGCTGTGAGATAAAGTGATTTTCTGAAGCCACAGCTAGTAAGTGGGAGAGCTGGGATTTGGAACCGAGTTCTTCCTACTCCCCGAGGAGTGAACTTGCAAACTACAGGCTGTGAGCCAGAGTCAGCCTGCCACCTGTTTCTGCATGACCCTTGAGCTAAGACTGTTTTCACGTTTTTATTTAATTAATTTATTTTTATTTTTTGGTGGCTGGCTGATATAGGATCCAAAACCTTGACTTTGGTGTTCGAACACTGCGTTCTAACCAACTGAGCTCACTGGCCAGCCCTGTTTTGCACATTTTTTAAAGGGTTGGAAAAAAATCAAAACAAAAATAATATTTTGTGACACATGAAAATGATTTGAAATTCAAATGTCAGTGTCCATAAATAGAGATTCATTGAGTTACACCTGCGCCCACTCACTTCTGTCTCGTCTGTGGTTTGTGTTGCTCTACAGCGGCAGAGTTGAATAGTTGCAGCAGACAGTATGGTCCTCAAAGCCCCAAATATTTATTATCTGGCCTTTGCAGACCCTTGTACAACATTATGCTCACTGAAGCAAACTGCCTCAGGATATATAGAGGAGCTGGCTTTGGAGCTGGACCTTGAAGATTAGTAGTTTCTTTAATGTCAGAGAAAACTAGAAGTGTCTTCCAGGCAGAGAAAGGACTGATATATGAAAGAAGGACATGTTCTGGAAAGGAGAAATAGTTCTGTGTGGCTGAAGCATACACTGTGTGAAGATGAAGGGACATAAGACCAAGCTGGAGAGGTAGGTAGGGCTGGGTAGCCAATGCCAGGTGAAGAGTTGATCTGTAGTGCAGGTGATCGGGAGCCCCTAGTGTTTATGAAGCTGCAGAGAGGCACTGAGACTTGTGGGTCAGAAAATATAACCGCTGGGGCCGGCCCGGTGGCGCACTGGATAGTGCGCCACTTGGGAAGCGGCGGCGCTCCCGCCCGAGGGTTCGGATCCCACATACAGACCGGTTCCCGCTCACTGGCTGAGTGAGGCACGGGAGCAACACCCAGGGTTGCAATCCCGTTGCCGGTCCCCGGTCCGGTACGGGGGCAACACTGAGGGTTGCGATCCGTTGCCGGACACGGAAAAAGACAAAAGACAAAAAAAAAAAAAAAGAAAATATAACCGCTGTTACCTGTTCATTGTAAGTTTCCAGCATGCTCAACTTAACATGTGTAGAGAAGAACACAAAGTAAATATTCTCTTAAAACAGTTGTCTTTGAAAAAAAAAAAAAAGTGATATGAACAGTATAAATGTCCACCAAAGGGAAAAAGCTAATATTATATACAGTAAAGGTCTATTTCAACATGCAATATGAGGTTCTCAAATAATGTTAATGATATAGAGGAGGTTATTAATATAAATTAAAAAGTTTGTATGTGTGTTTCAGTCTCAGCTGGGGACAGAAAAAGATGTTTTTCTTATTGTCCACCCCCAACCTGAAAATATGTAGAGAAAAAGATCGGTCTTTCCCTTTCTGTGCTTTTGGAGTATTGCTAGCCAAGCTACACCTCTTAAGCGGGATTGGAGGAGTCTGGATGGCTCTGGTCAGAAAGGCCTTAAGACACTGACGCTTTCAACCCTCACCCGTGGAAAAGCTGGCTTGTCTGTCAGTCGCCCTGGATGGGTCTTGCTAGTCAAGCCTTGTGGTCACAGGGTTCCCAACTAGCTTCAGATCATGTCATGTTAGAAATGAGCACATGGGGGCCGGCCCGTGGCTCACTCGGGAGAGTGCGGTGCTGATAACACCAAGGCCACGGGTTCGGATCCCATATAGGGATGGCCGGTTCGCTCACTGGGTGAGCGTGGTGCTGACAACACCAAGTCAAGGGTTAAGATCCCCTTACCCTTGACAATCTTAAAAAAAAAAAAAGAGCACATGGCCAAGGATTAGCAGAGAAGTAAAGCCTCCATTGTGAAAGAGAGATAAAAAAAAAAGTAGAAAAAAGGAACTCAGAGAAAACAGACAATGCAGAGTAAAAGAAAACATTTTTAAAAGCTCTCTAATTAGGGGCTGGCCAGTTAGCTCAGTTGGTTCGAGCACAGTACTATTGCTCCAAGGTCACGGGTTCGGATCCCCTGCCAGCTAGCTGCCAAAAAAAAAAAAAATCTATAATTAATAGCCTTGGAGAGATAAAGAATTATTTCTACGAAAAAAAAAAGTAACAGAATAAGAAAGACTGTCTGTAAATTAAGTTTATGAATGACAGCCAAAATAAAAATGGAGAGGGGCTATAAAAAATAGTTGAGGGAATCTTCCAGAATATAGAATAAAAAGACCAAGAAATGAAAAACAGGTGGTAAAAGATAATACAATTAGAACGTTAGTACAGGAGGTCCAAAATCCAATTAGTAGGAACTGCAGAAAGGGAAAACAGAGGGGAGAAAATTATATAAGAAATAGTATGTTTCTCAGAATTGAAGTACAGGAATCTCCAGATTGAAAAGGGTCCACTGAGTGTCCAGCATGATGAATGAAAAACAAAACAAAACATATCAAGATACATTTAAACATCAGGGAAAAAGAGAAGATCCTACAAGCTGCCAGAGAGAAACTGAATGACAAAAAAGATCACATCCCGTAAATGGGCTGGCTGGTTGCTCAGCCGGTTAACAGTACGGTTAGGGGTTCGGGTCCCTGTACTGGCCAGCCACCAAAAAAAAAAAGATCACGTAGGAAGAATTGGGGATGAAAATGGTGGCAGACTTCTAAGCTGCAACATTGGAACTTAAAAGATAATGAAATAATGTCTTCAATATTCTTGGAGATCTACAATCCTATTCCAGGTAAACTTCAATCACGTGTGGAAGTAAGAAAAGACATTTTCAGCTGTGCAAAGGGTACAAAAAATGCGCCCCTGCTGCACATTTTTTGAGAAAATTGCAGCAAAGAGAGAGTAAATGATAAAAGAGGAATATACTAGATCTGAACGTCAGAACGGTGAAGAAAAATGTTGAAGTTCCAGAATGAGTTTTGCAGTATACTTGGAAAAACACTGCTCCAAATAGTAGCTGGAGAATAGAAGATGAGACTCGAGGGAAAAACAATGAGTTTGAGTATCTGGAAAATATTGTTAATAGGCAAGTAACAGTGATTTGGAGCATTTATTTATTTTTGGCAGCTGGCCAGTAGGGGGATCCGAACCCGTGATGTTGGAGTTACCAGCACCGTGCTTTCCCGAGTGAGCTTACCAGCCAGCCCATGCAGCATTTAGATAAAAAGATAGAGTTATGGAAAACTATACCTAATTTTAAAAAGGCAATTAAAAACTCTAAGAAAAAATACACAAAGGATGTATGCATTACTTGGTTCAGCAGCAAACAGTAATTGCATGGATAAAATATTAATAACTATTGATTTAAACAAATTTTATAATGTAAGTATGCAGAGGTATGTGATTGGGGGGTGTTAGTGGGATAGTGTTAAATTCTCTTCGACCATGGTGGGAAGATAGTAATGTCCAAAACTGCTCTCTAAGAAGAGAAAAACCAATAGTTTTTAAAATATGGAGGTAGATACCAGGGCAAAGAGCTAAAAAGGCTAAAGAGTTGAAGATGGAAACTGTAGGGAGTAACAGAGAAGGAGATAGTTGGAAGGAAAAAAGGGTGGGATGGGGACTGGTGATTTCCATTACAAGCCTTTCAGTACTATCTGAGGTTTTAAGAAACAGCTTTATTTAGATATAATTCACATATAGTGAATTATAATTCACATATAGTGAATTTTCATACAGTTCACCCACTTAAAGGGTACTAGCCAATGGTTTTCAACAGAGTCACAGAGCTGTGCAATCATCACCAGAGCCTCAATTTAGAACATTTTGTCCCCGCGCCAGAGAAACCCATTAGCAATTCCCCGTTCTCTGCCTCCTCTTGGTTCTGAATGAATCCTTACATTCTTGGCTCCCATGAAATTAGATTGATGGTTGCTTGGGGGTTGGGGGGGGTAGGGGTGGTGAATGGACCCTCCTGCCCTAAGCAAGCATCAGCCTAATTTCTGCCAACTTTATATGTAATTTTTCCAAAGTGGAAATGAATGCCCACCCAATCAAGTAATGCATGCTCCATTTGTTGCAATATATAAATTTGTATAATTAATGTAATTTTAATTTCTGGTCAAGATGCACATACTGACTTAGTGTGATTTACATAAGGACAATAGACAATAAACCAATTTTCTTATATTGTTTCTTTCTCATAAGAAAAATTTAAAAATTATTACTCTATAAGTGTTAGGAGAGCTTCAGGCCTAAAATGTGGAATTTCTGTGGTTTCTCAGAACATTGTACCATACTTTTAGCAGAAAAATGCATTTATATAATGAATGTCTACTCTATTTTAAGAGTTATTTGCTAAAACTAAAGAGTGCTTGCTATGCATAGTAACTAGTTACTGTCTTTTCTTCTCAGCACTATTGGGAAGTTGGGAAAAGGGCTTTCTTTTTGTCCTTAATTTTTATAGATTGAAACTTCAAACAAGTAATACAGATATTTTATTAAATAAATGAAATCTTAGGGAGAGAATAGGATCACTTTATAAATTTTGTATAGTTTTTCTGTACAGTTTTCCATTGAAATATGTTTGGGTATCACTTATTTGTATATCAGATAAACTGAGAAGTCATAGAACTATATTTCTAATTTCTTCCTATCCACCATCCTATAATCAAGTACAGGAAACATTTTCCTACACTACAGTACATGAAAAGACAATTCTGCAGTGTCTTAATAGGTAGTCAACAAAAAGTCACTGGAGAGGGGAGGAGCAGCTTTCGACAAAGAGATGTCTTTGTAGCCTGATTCTTGTAGTCTTCTGAAACTAGATTCATTGAAGTAAACTTAACATCCATTAGACTCATTCATTTAAAGTATGCAGTTTGATGAGTTTTGACATAGGTTTTCAGTCATGTGACCACCACTACAACCAAGGTGGTGTGTTTTTTTTTTTTTAAAGATGACTGGTAAAGGGATCTTAACCCTTGACTTGGTGTTGTCAGTACCACGCTCTCCCAAGTTAGTGAACAGGACATCGCTATATAGGGATCCGAACCCATGGCCTTCGTGTCATCAGCACCACACTCTCCTGAGTGAGCCACGGGCCGACCCTCCTACCTTAGCCACTGGCCATTACTGGTTTACTTTCTGTAACCGTAGTTTGGTTTTTTTCTAGAATTACCATATAAGTGGAGCTGTACAGCTTGTATTCTTGTGTATACGGTTTCTTTCCCTCAGTACAATACTTCTGAGATCCATCCATGTTGCATGCCATCTGTAGTTTCTTTTTATTGCTGAATTGTATTCTATTTTATAAATGTATCACAGTTTTATTATCCATTCATAAGTTGATGGACATTTGAGTTATTTCCAGTTTGGAACATCAGATGTAAAGTTGCTATGGACATTTGCAGACAGGTGTTTGTGAGGGCATATGTTTTTATTTCTCTTGGGAACCTCTGAATTGTTAAGAATTATGCTTAGGCAGGAGGGGTCAGGTGTATGGGAGGTGAGAATATGCTTAAATTTGGAAACTGCCTGTTTACCAAAATAACAACCATTTTGCATTGCCATGAACACTGTGGCACCATGCTCCACATGCATGTTAAATGTTAGTTTTTAATTTTTGACATTATCATGATGTGTCGTATTGTCTCATTGTAGTGTTAATTTGCATTTCCCTAATGACTAATGAAGCTGAACATTTTTTTTCATTAGTTTTAGGTAACTTATGTATCTTCTTTGGTGAAGATAGTTGAAGCTTCTGATCAAATCTTTTGTCATTAAAAAAACTGATTTATTTTTCTTTCTTTATAAAATTGTTAGGGCTGGCCCATTGCTCACTCGGGAGAGTGTGGTGCTGATAACACCAAGGCCATGGGTTCGGATCCCATATAGGGATGGCTGGTTTGCTCACTGGGTGAGCGTGGTGCTGACAACACCAAGTCAAGGGTTTAGATCCCCTTACCGGTCATCTTTTTAAGAAAATAAAATAAAAATAAATAAATAAATAAAATTGTTATAATTTATTATATATTTTGGAGGCTTTATCAGATATATGTTTTGCAATATTTTCTTTCTTGGTGATTTGCCTTTTCATTTTCTTACTGGTATCTTTCAAAGAGCAAAACTTATTTTTTTATCAAAGCCTCTTTTTATCAGATATTTTCTTTCATGGTTTATGCTTTTTGTGTCCCATCTAAGACACTGTTGCCAAACCTGAGATCACAGCAATTTTCTCCTACCCTTCCTTTTACCAGTTTTATAATTTTAGCTCTAATAGTTAGCTCTATGATCGTTTTTGAGTTAATTTATTATATGGTGTGAGGAAGGGATCAAAGTTCATTTTCTTCCATATAAATAACCAGTATTGTCAGCACCATTTGTTAGTTCCATTATTTCTTTCTAGTTTAATTACATTGTGGTTAGAGAATATATTTTGTATGATTTTAGTCATCTTACATCTATTGAGATCAGTTTTATGACTTGAATATGGTCTATCATGATAAAAGTTGCTTGTGCACTTGAAAAGAACGTATAGTACTATGGCTGGATGTGAGGTCGGGGTGTGAGTGTTACTGATAGTGTAAGCCTGGTCTTCTGTAATGTTATTGATTTTTGTTTGTCTTATCAATTACTGATATAGGAGTGTTGTAATCACTAAACACAATTGCAGATTTGTCTATTTTCCTTCTATTTCTAACAGTTTTGCTTCATGTACTTTGAATTATTAGGTGCATACCCATTTGGGCTGGTTATGTCTTCTTAATAAATTGATTCCTTTATCATTATGAAATATTCCTTGTTCTGAAGTCTACTTTGTGTTATGTAAATGTAGCCTCTCTCATTCTCTTTTTCTTAGGATTGCACAATGCATATCTACTTCTTTCTTTATATTTAAACCAGGTTTCTTATAGACAGTTGGCTCTTGCTTTTTTATCTAAACTGACAATCTTTGCCTTTTAATTGGCATGTTTAGACTATTTATATTTAATATAATTGATATGATTCACATTAAATCTACTATCTTGCTATTTGTGTTCTACTTAAACTATCTCCTCTGTTTCTCTTTCCCCTTTTTCTGCCATGTTTTGAAAGTGTTTCAAAATTCAATTTCCCTAAAATTGACTTATTAGTTAGACATACTTTTATTTTTTATTGATTGCTTTAGGGCAGCAGTTCCCAAAGTGCATTCAGGGATCTATGAGATCCTTTCAGGTGGTTTTTCAAGTGAGAACTATTTTCGTGATATTAACATTTGCCCTTTATACTTTCATTCTCTCATCAGTGTAGAGTGGAGTAAAATGTATAGTGGAGTTTGCCTGAGGCTACATGACATGTACTTTTGTAAAAGATTACACATACAGCAGAGAATCTAGTTGTCATTTTTAAAGCCAGACATTATAGAGATTTGGAAAAATATAAAACAGTGCCATTCTCTTCAATATTGGCTTGGATAAGAAAATTATTTCTCACAGAAATGTCATTTTATGTTGTATATGTTAACTAGTAATGGCTTTTCAATGTGTTTCATTAATTAACAGTATTTACATATTTCTCAGTGTATTAGCATCCTAGGGCTTCCATAACAAAATACAACTGGGTAGCTTAAAACAACAGAAATTTATTCTCTTCAGTTATGGAGTCTAGAAGTCTGGAATCCAGGTGATTTTTTTTTTCAAAGGATAACTGGTAAGGGGATCTTAACCCTTGACTTGGTGTTGTCAGCACCACACTCACCCAGTGAGCAAACCGGCCATCCCTATATGGGATCTGAACCTGTGGCCTTGGTGTTATCAGCACCACACTCTCCTGAGTGAGCCACGGGCCGGCCCCCAGAGATTCTTTTTTGAGGTGATAAAATGTTCTATAATTGACTGTGGTGATGGTTGTACGTCTGTGAATATACTAAAAATCAATGAATTGTACATTTTGAATTGCACTATCTCAATAAAGTTGTTTAAAAGAGATTTAATGCCTAATCCATAAATTAAACTTTATCGTTATTATGTATAGGAAAAAAACACGGTATATATAGCATTTGGTATTCTCCATGGACCAGGCACCCACTGCAGGTTTCAGAATGTATCCCCTGCAGGTAAGGGGAGGGGGCGGGGGGGGGATTTCAAATCTCTCTCGAGTCCATCCTCTTTCCTCCTTGCTATTCTAGTCTAAGCTAATCAACTTTGTGCTAAACTTGAATAAGATGCAGTCTTTTCATAAATGGAGCCTAAAGGTTCTGTAAATACATAAATGTTTTAGTGCCCACTCCTACAAATCCTTTTCATTAGCTGTTTAAAATCACAGTACTCTAACAATATTAGAGGCCAGTAAAAAGAGATCCCCCAGATTAAGCACTTTCAGTGTCGTTGAAGGGTTAGGTTATAAAATAGATTTGTTTTCTCACTGATTTTTGAGCCAAAACAATTTACTGTTTACAAGTTGATTCTTTGACATTTTTTGATCAGTTGCCTAAGAAACCATGCCACTTTAGAAGCTTCAAATAGATGTTAAACTCTACTTATAGATATAACTAAAGTTATCTTATAGATGACTGGCTGCCGAAATATTTTCCAAAGTGTAGACGAATGTAAAAGCACAGGACAGAACTGATACCAACTGAAAATGTGCAAAACAAAACTAACAGAGAGAGAAAAAGCAAGTTGTAGAAGTGGGAAAGACCTCATACAAGGTCATCATTACGTTGTATTCAGGAGCAGTTATTGTCAAATAAGCTTTTGCATATTATTCTGTCTAGTATGTCCTTATCATAATTTCATTGATCCTTTATAGTCATCGCATATGCTTCTATCTAATAGCCTTCAAGGTCTGTCCAGGCAGAATTAAGTATATTTTCTCTGGGTATATTGTTTACATAACTGCTATGATGGTAAAAATCTTACTTAATACAAGATTTGTTAGTAAACTTACATTAAGTCTGTAAGCTGCTGAAGAATAAAGGATTTTCCTTTGTGTCTTCAGTATTTAGTACAGTGTTTGATCCACAGCAGACAGTAAAAGTTTGCTAAATGGGTCAATTGTTCAGAATTACCTTAAAATTCAACCAATGCATTAGATATACAGCTGCTACAAGGTCCTAGAATAAGTACATCATGTGTTATCCCGAGATGATGTAGCAACACATTGTAATGAGCAGCGTTTTTATAAAAAGCTATATAAAATATATTTATACATAAATGCATTTAAAATTGTATATTTCATTTAGAGTTCATGATCTACTTTTATGGGGGGGAGGGGGAAGTACATTAAAAACAGGTACCACACATCTATATTCCCCAAACTGCCTTGGTTAGAAAATTATTAACTTGACAGTACATTTCTCTTGTGAATTTTTTTATTGTGCTACTTGGGCAAAAGAATAAAATTGTTTACTAAATTATGTTTAGATCTTTAAATTATTCATTTTACAAGTTCATTTAAATAAGTTTAATATTCCATAAATGACAAGCAGCTTAAATACAAGTTTGATAACTATCATTTAAAAATTAATAAAATCAAAGTCAGTTAAGTTTTCAACAAGGCAATGTAACATTTATCGCTAACCTGACTAAAAGGCCTCACTCGTACTGCTCCTCTCACACTGTGGACACTTGGCATGGGAACTTCCATCATTTTCTCATTCTCCATACTGTTATTTGGTAGAAAAATAATGTAGACAGCACTCTGCTATGCTTCACACTGAAAGCTTAGCCAACAAAAGCAGTTTGTTTCTAGATGATCGATTATTAATGGTCCACTCATTACACACTATCAATGGCCTGTTATAAATTATATTACAACATTTCTTTATTTTTGACTTTATAGCCTACATCAAGCATCATTATTTAATTGCACAGTCATACTGTAGAGAACAGGGTATTTTTGTTTTTTCTTTTCCACATCTACTCACACTCTTCCCATCCTTAATAATCTGTGCCTGAGGTCCTGTGATATGCCAGTTTTAAAACCTGAATATATTAAGGGATTTCTGTGACTCAGTAGCAAGCTCCTTCACAGCAAGATTATAATAAAATTTCATCAAACTTCTCCTATCAATATTAGGCACACACAAGGTGCAGTGAATATCCATAAAACAGATTTATTATTTTACATTTCCCTTCCTTCTCAAATGCTTTTATGAGGTTGCTAGTGAGCAGTGAACCGGTCAACCTAACCTGAATAATTAAGTCTCAATAATTAAGAGACTTAAAGATAAATAGTCTTTAAACTTGCTGAACAAGAAATGCTAACATTGTGGTTAACCAATGCATTACTCGGAAAATTACTCATTTGAGGTAGATTACAAAAAATTTGTGAAACCACAAAAAGGCAGCAAAATTACATGCCCATAATTCAATTTCAACATAGTAATAGCCAAAGCCCCCCCAAACATTTTGATTAGAAATCCTAATCACAGAATCAAAGTGCATAAATTATAAAATAGCAATTAAAAAAAAAATCAATAGTTCAATCATCCTTATTTTAAGATTGGCATATTTTAACTATAAAGAAAATGGGACCAAAGCCTGCTAGTATATAAAATCATTATAAAACAGAAATCCCCTCTCAAAAATCTAACAGACACAAACTACTGTGAAGTATACAGTTTATTTAACATTCCAATAAGCCATATTTACATATTATATAAATGTATGATGTCTTAATATAAAATAGAAAAAACTGCCTGGACTAAAAGAATCGCACTCCATATGGAGTTATTTTACTTACTGAGGACCTTCTATTTACAAAAATTTACAATAATTTATATAAATTATTTTCTTCCAAATTAGATGATTTTTAATAGTCCACACAATCTGATGACTTTACAAATAGTTATACATTAAAAATTTGAAAAAAAAAATTACAGCATTTTTCTGCGTAAAATTTGCTTTGGAAAGGAAGACAGTTTCTTTCTGCTCCTTCCAATAGCTTTTGCTGTTGCTTCTGCAGTTTTTCTTGGTTTGCTCTTTACTCCATCAATTGGGCTTGCCAAGGGAGAAATCAGCTTAATTTTCACTGGAGGAGGTGACCAAGGACTTTCTTTTTCTGTGTTTCTGGGGGGAGGGGGAGACATAAACAAGTAAGAATAAACATATTTATCATAAATTTAGCTTCCCAACATTTTGAAGGAAACCTTAGGGATTACCTTGCCTAGTGATTTCATTCTATACAAGAGGTAATGGTTTCAAGAGAAGTAAAGTGAAGCTTTAAGTCATATAAACTTACTACAGGAAGAGTTAAGGTTTCACTTAAGGGAAATTTTCCTTTTTTGCTTTGGATATTTAACAACAATCATTGTTGGATTTTTCTTTAAATTTTTCACGTGTTAATAAAAAGTGCCAGTTACAAGGATGGGCCCACATACTAGTAGTCAGTCCATTGGATGAGAAACCAGCAGGCCCACACTGCACAGCAGAAATGGCAATTCTCAAACACCAGCAATTAGCAAACATGTACACAATTTCACAAACATGAAGGAGTTTTCCAAATATATACAAAGCCAATTTATATGCAAACAGTGTTATTATGATCAAGTCTCATTAAATCGGTTTTTAAAATAAGATAAAATAGATTAATTTGTGCTTTTATTAAATTCAACCATGCTCAGGAAAGCATGAACAAAATACTGTGTTGACAAACATAGCTAAAATGGCATAATTTTCCCATGGGATGAAATTTTATTATTATTAGTGAAATAATCACAGGACTTTTACGTTTATAATTTTTTTTTTCACTAATAATTACCTATCTTTAGTAATGAGGTGAACTGTCCCCTTCCTTCTCCCACCCACTGCAAAAACAGAAAGCTCCACTGGGAACTAACCTACCCTCCCCCATCCACCCTTCTAAAAAGGATGGACTTTCATGCTCTTTAGAGAAATCTACCTTCAGCAGTGAAATCTAACAATGTCAAGGAGCCACTGCTTGTAAATGTCCCAAAGAATTAGCCTTTTCTGATGAGCTTAATTTCCCCTTTTTTTTTTTTTTTTTCCTTTTTTTGTCTTTTTTACTGACCGGTAACAGAATCGCAACCCTCGGTGTTGCACCCGCACCGCGCTCAGCCAGTGAGCTGGAACCGGTCTCCACATGGGATCCGAACCCTCGGCGGGAGCACCGCCACACTCCCAAGCGGCGCACTCTCCAGTGCGCCACCGGGCCGGCCCTTAATTTCCCTTTTTAAATTAAGAGTCTTTCAAATCTAATTTTGAGAAACAAATGAATAAAAATTACAGAATAGAAAGTGATGCTTGCTTGCTTGCTTGTTTTGTTTTAGCAGTCCTCACTCTTTTCACTTTTTGCTTTTCCACAGTGTCTACTGATTTAGCATCTTCTTCCTATGGGTTAAGATTTTTAAAAGGTAAATCTTACGCAATTAAACACTCGAAATCTAAATTAAAAAGTTCTATCCTGTGTCAAGACACATAGCCAAACACTACTAATGAATTCAAGCTCAACAAGTTCAAAATTGACTCCTTTTCTAAAGTATTTTTTTGGTAGAAACCTTAATTATCTAGAACTGCTCTTTATTCTTCATTCCCACAATTCAACTCCAAGTCTTGTCAGTTTTATTTTTGAAAGTTTCCATTTGTTCACTGCCCTTCTGTTCTCATTGCCTCTCATGACCTTGTAAGGCTTAGGTCACCAGAGACTATTTTTTCCTCCCCAAGACTCACCTTTCATTAAAACTACCTAAAACAGTGCACATGACTCCTTGCTAGTTCATGAACACGCCCCATCTGTCCGCCACTGCTGTGTTTCTGAGCCTTTCTTTGCATCTGCTGTTTTCTCTGCTAGGAATATCTGTTTCCTCTACCTTCTGTCTACAGAGGTATCTAGGTATAAATTACTATTATCATGCTATGAAATAATTATTTGTTTTTACCTCTTCCATTAAGCTATGTATTTCAATTAAACTGTGGGCTCCTGAAAGACTATTTGCCTGAATTATTTTTGTGTAAGCCTTTGCCACTGCATAGTAACGAACTCATGGTAGATAATTCAATAAATGTTCATGGATTAACATTTGTAAATATAAGGGTCTCACACTCAATCCCTGACTTATTTTTATTTTAGGGTAATGGGCTATTAGGTAGGTGATAGAATCAACTCTAAAACATAACCTAAGTGTGCTCTGTGAATAACACTCCAGGGGTTCAGGGGCTTTTATCTTAAACAAATATACCCAGATACTTCTGATGGGCATTTAAATTTAAAAAAACGTTTCCTCTAACAGGTAATTTAAACTGTAGCTGTCAGTAATACATCATCAGTAACATACTGCAGGTCTGTCTTAAAGGCAGGATCTCCAAAGGTGTGTAGACAAGACAGTGTTAGCTACCCATTTAAACTGAGTTTCAACTCACTAAAGAGGGCCATTTGCTCATTCAAAGTTGAGGGACTAGTGGAGTGGTTGTGCTCTGTGTGAGCTGTTTTTAGGCTGACCCTCATATTTCCATCATTCTCAGCATGTAGTCTCACTGGTCTCTTAAGCCATTGGGTGATCAGACCACTGTCAGACTCCTCATCAGTCACGGCACTCTGGTCTGCCTCTTCCTCCTCGAATAAACTACACTCAACCCTGCCTCCCCAGAGATATGACCCCCCCCATCACAGATCTCTTTATTGTCTTCACAGACCTGCAATTATCTAGCTTATGATTTGTTGATATACTGATTGACTGTGGCTCACTAGAATATAACTTTGAAACAGGATGGACCATTCACCACTTTCCCCCTGCGCCTAGAATATTTTTGAGTACATAGGAAGCACTCCATATTTCACAGAAAATGAAAAAATAAATGAAGAAGCAAACCAGGTTAAAAAAAAAAATCTTGGACTTTTAATGTAAAATGGCTGTTATCTCTAAATAAGTTTATTTAGGAAACATTTACTTAAAAAATTAAATAAAATCAAGATAATTTTATCTAATAAAAACATTTATTCATTTAAAAAAACCAAAAAGTATGTCTAAACAAACATACAAATAAATCATGCATTCCTTACCGGTTCATCTACAAGCTTGGACATACTGGATGTGTTTTTTCTTCTGGTCCTCAATGCAGGTGAGGAGACAAATTGAGAAGATAAATCTGAAACTAATTTTTCCAGCTGTGTAGTAGCTTCTATTTTTTTAGCTAAAGAAAAGTTAAAAAAAAAAAAAGAAAGAAAAAGAAAAACACTGTATTTACATCTTTTTATACATATATTTCAACAAAAAGCTTGAAACAAATAATGGACATTAGAAAGAAGCAAATATCCCCAAACCTGGAAAACACTGGCATTGTAACAACTATCCGTGTTAGGAGAGAGAAGTAACAGGAAAAATCCCAACATCAGTTAAGTAAACCAAATGTTTAGGAATATTGAAATGCTTCAAACTAAATATGCTACAATATAAAGATAGGACTTAAAAGCAGGAACAAATTGTATTATTCCATTAATTTTAATCTTTACTGCTCCTTAAACTTTCTGGGGAGGGAAAGCATTAATCCCATATATAACCTAAGCTAGTCTGCAACATAAGTCCTACTTTTCCAGAGACAAGGCTTTTATTTAAAAGTAAATTCTTATTTACAAAGGCTTATTTTATTTACAAAAAAGAGACTCAAACCTTCCTTCCAGCCAGCTCATTCTGAGCTACTTGGTCCAGTCAAGGGGAACATTAGAAAATTTCATGTCACAAAAAGAAAAACTTAAGCGGAGAAAGTAATAATATAGAAAAATAGCTAACAGATAAGATATTCCATGGTTTAGGGCTGGCTGGTTAGAGTGTAGCCTTACAACAGCACGGTTACGGGTTTGGATTCCCATGCCAGCCAGCTGCAAAAAATAAAATAAAAAATAAATAGAAGAATTGGTTTAAAACGTGTAATTAAAATCATTTACCACAGACTCATCTTAGATTTTTTGTTTTTACTATAGTGTCTCCATCTTAATGGCAATTATCCGATCATGGAAGCAACAAAGTGCAGTTTAACCAGTCTACCAGAGATTAAATCCCAGCTTCTGGATTTACGAGCTGTGAGACCAAAGGCAAGTTACTTAAAACTCTCTGTGCCTCAGTTTCTACTTGTATAAAATAGAATTAATAATAGTACCTATTTTAAAGTTATTGTAAGAATTAAAGGATTAGAGCAATGTGTGGCATATGGTAAGCGCTTTATAGATATTTGCATTTGTTATGATGTTATAAATTCAAGAACATAATTTACAAACTCTTTAAAGAAAATTCTCAAATTATAGTTTAATGTTATTTCACCTAATTAGGACAATCAAGAGTACTACCAAGAGCCAAATGCTGCTTTTAAAGCATATGATTCTTGACAAAAGAAAAAAAAAAAAAAAGGTCAGAAATAAATGTCATCTCTGCTCCCAGCTCATAAGTGGCAGAGATGACCAGTGGTATTGGTGGTAACTACCCCCTTTGGGTACTAAAAAAAACAGAAGAATAAATATATGTATACTCTTTCTATGAAAATGATACATTCTATAACTCTTTCTAGGCTACCTGGAACTACAGAGGTTCTTTGGCTTTCCCTCTTCAAAGGATTAAATAAGAAAATACAAACATATACTATCATATGCAAAAATGTTAAGCCTCTCCCATTCATTCCACAGCTTCTACAATAGTATGGATGAGACTTCATTACGCTGTCTGTATATCTCAATTCTTCACCCATCTCTGTAAGCTTCCTGAGGGTTAAGTTTTAAAAGCCAGTGCTACGTAAGAATTAAGGAGTTCAAAGACCTGGGTTCAAACCCAGTAGAGTGTGCTGGTAAATGGCTCTTTGAAGAAAAACAAACAAAAAAGCAGGTCTGATTTATAGCATTCAGATTTCTGTAGTATAAATGTTGCCACTCTGGCCAATTTCAAATGATGGCTTGCTCACAAAATTCTTGAATACTTAACAATTGGCTTTCGTGAATGTAATAAATATATCTAGTATAGCCTCATGCATATAGTTGGCCCTTCTTGATATCTGCTGTTGAATAATGGAAACTGGAGAAAATCCCATGAAATGTGAAGCCTCACATTTTTTAGCTAGTAAAACTTAACTAAGTAAAATTCTAAGATACCTGTTTCTTTGACAGGTTTCAATTACACAGAGGACTGCCCTCCAGCCTTCTCTGCACCTCCCCCACCTGTCCTTAAAGGAGTTTTAAAAATACAATTTAAATAGGCACAAGGGACAGGAAGTATTTAAGAGTGTAGAAACTACAACTGAAGGGGCAAAGGAAGAAAGGAAACAAACTATCCTCTGGTGGTAACTGCTTTGTTAAAGTACTGAATACTCAGGAGAATCCTCTAAGGTAGGGATTATCACCTTTATTGTAAAGATGAACAAACAGGATCAGAATGGTTAAATGATTCAGCTAGTAAAAATGGCAGTAATGAAAGATTCCCAATACCAAGTTTCTTATCTCCAATCCTATAATCTCACACTGGACAGTGCCTATTTTTAGTACTAGAAAACCTGAGAATAATTCATATACCCAACAGAATGTTTAAGCAATCTGAGCACATTAGCGAGATGAAATGCCTCATGTGGACTCTATCAATGTGCAAAAAAAATAAATAAAAATAAGTAAATAAGGGCCGGCCCGGTGGCGCACTGCTACAGTGCGCCGCTTGGGAAGTGTGGCGGCGCTCCCGCCGAGGGTTCGGATCCCAGATACAGACCGGCGTGAGCGAGGTGCGGGAGCAACACCGAGGGTTGCAATCCCGTAGCCGGTCCCGGTCCGGTACGGGCGCGACACTGAGGGTTGTGATCCGTGGCCGGTCACGAAAAAAGACAAAAAGGAAAAAAAAAAATAAGTAAATAAAATAAAATAAGAAACCCATGTGCACTTAGGGTTTTCAAAAATACTTAAGAATATCTGAAAATGCTCATGAAATAAGCGGGGGGGGGGGCAGGGAGTAGAATATATACATATACATAGCTTAATATAGTTAGCTAAAAATCTCATGCATTTTATTATTTCTTTCTCCTCCATGCAAAGTACACTTTCCTAACACCATGAAGAAACTGAATTATACAATACTACCAAAATCAAAGATCTAATACAAAATTTGGGGGCGGAGGTGGGGTTGGAGAGGAGGATCCCCTGCAACTACAAGTGATTTTTAGAACAATCAATGAATTGTATAGGGAGGGTCGCTTTCCTGGGCTCAGGCTACATGCCAGCCCGTGGCTCACTTGGGAGAGTGTGGTGCTGACAACACCGAGTCAAGGGTTAAGATCCCCTTACCGGTCATCTTTAAATAAACAAATAAGACAAATGGCTACATAAATGTAATATATTGTAAACAGGTTTTTGTATAGTGAATGTTTAAGATAGAAAATTTCAGTTTGCAGATTTTTAAATGGCTTTTCTTTCTCTTGGGTTTCGACAAGTCAGGAGGCAGCTATATAGGAGGTTCACTAATGCATTAAAAAGTTCATGTGGCAGTTTTTAAAAGTTTAAGTAAATAAAACAATACTGTCATCTATTGTATTTATAAGAACCTGAACTGCTTTGCTGAAATTCAAATTTTAAATCATAACTTAAGTAAACAACTATTTTGGTTACCTAACCACTATTACCTTACCATTATTACCTTTACAAGGAGTTACTCTAACGGGATCTACTCAAATATACCAGGTCTCAACCTTTTATTCACCCATACATTAGCCTTTTTAGACATTTTTTAAAGACCTTTTAATACCACAAATATACCGTATATCTGTCTATACACTTTATATATATGCTTCATGCATAAAAGGAGTTAAGATATTTTCACCCTTTTGGGAGAGAGATCACCCTTGTTGAGAGGGTGTGACCTCAAACAATACAATTAGCTCATTGGTGACAAAGAGGGAGGCTGGGCATGCAGACATGCCAGTTTATGGGCAACAGTGAATATGGATTTAATTTCTGTATTCTAATCAGTATAAAGCTACTAGTGTTTCCCTTCAAAACAATTTGGGGGCCAGCCCCGCGGTTCACTTGGGAGAGTGCGGCACTGGTAGCACGAGGCCGTGGATTCGGATCCTATATTGGGATGGCCGGTGCGCTCACTGGCTGAGCATGGTGCAGACCACACCATGCCGAGGGTTGCGATCCCCTTACCAGTCAGAAAAGAAAAAAAAAAAAAAAAAAAGGTAACAACTGAAGTCAAACTATTTATTTAAAAGAGGAACAGTCAAGTACAGGAGACATATCCCCCAAATTTGTTGGCAACCGGCATGCTTATACATTTTCAAAGAAAACATCTAGTGATTACCTATTCTGTTCAAACATTTTTAAAAAAAAAAAAAAAAAAAAAAAAAACCAATTTGGGGTTATGGATATTACTGGGACATGAGCCAAACACAGTGGTACTTAGGAGATTAAAAATGCCAATACTTAAATAAATAAATGCTAATTCTATTTTGGGAGAAACCAAAATTAAGTCTTTAAGGGCAGAATGAAGAGAAATTACACTAATCTAAAAATGATTTGGAAAATCATATTGAACAAGAATGAACTCTTGAATCTTAATATAATCTTTGAAATATGATATATTTTAACTTTCTTAATTACTAAGAAAACAGTTTTTTCTTTGGGGTAGGGAGGGATCCCCTCTTAACTGTCAATTATTTTTAGGACAAATAATTAGTGCCTCAAATATTTTAAGCTGAAGACTCTGAATAATACGAAAACTATGCTTTGAATAGAAATAAAAGTACCTTTTTCTTTTCTTGGAACCTTTGACACAGATGGAGAAAATAAAGGCTCATTTTTTGCTTCAGAAAGGTCCAGCAACAAGATGGCCTTGTTAGATCTAGCCCTTGTACTGCGGGAAGATTTAGTAAAAGAAGCTGCGGCAATCAATTTTTCTTCCTGGTCATCTGGTTCTTTGTGTGTCATTTCATCTATGTATTCCTCTGATATTGAACGTAATGAACGTTTCCGGCTTTGATTTTCAGTCCTTTTTGTAAGCTTTTTCTTAGAGCTCATCACCATGACAAGTTCCTCATTTGGCACTAGAACAGATTTTTCTAAAGCTGGCTTCCCAACATCAATATTTTCACTTTTAGCTGGGGTGTTTCTAGTAGATCTCCTTTGGATGCTGAGAGATTTTCTCTTGTTGGGACTTCTCTCTTCCCTAACAGCCATAGATTCTACATCTTCAGATGGATTTATCTTTCTTGGTCTACCACGTTTCCTAGGTACGGAAGGCTTATCCAATTCTACTTGAAGAGTCAACTGGGATGACTCAAGTTTAGAGTCTTCTATCACATCCGATGCACTAACTCTTCTCTCTCTGACCCTTCTACTACGTTGAATAGGTAGTTGCTGGTCACTGGATTTCCCATCATGTTTATATCCTGTATTTTCAGAAGCTTCTGAACTAGTACTTCTCAATTTTCTAAGAGTTCTGCTAGGACTTGCTACCTTACTAACTTTTAGATCATTTACAATTTCAACACTTTCCTGATGTTCTACAGAATTTTTAGTTCTTCTAGGTGTCCTTTTTGTAACAGATGAAAGCTTAACTTTTCTGAAAGAAGATTCTTGTTCTAAGAGCTGAGATGATTTTAACCTTTTTAATTCCCTGCCTGTAGTAACCTGTAACTCCTGTTCCATAGAATTAATACTCTCTAATGTGTCCTGATTAATTTTTCTCCTTCCTCTCCTAGGAGTAATAGAATTTTGAAGTATTTGTTGGTTCTGAGATATTCCTTTGACATCAGGATAGGCACTTTCAGAAGCTTTAGAAATTTGTCTTGTTTTCCTAGTTTTAACGGCTAGCTCTAAAATCTTAGGAGTAGCAACATCTACTGCTGACTCTTCCTGTTGTGATTTGTTATTCAGGTTTTGAACACGTTGTCCTCTTGTGCGAATTCTGGAAGAAACCGTGTCATTAACCTGGCTGCCATTTATAGTCACTGTACTTGTTTCCTGAACAGTCTTAAATGCAGATTTGACTAACTTGATGGAACACATTCCTTTTTGGTCTACTGAAGGTATGTTTTCATGAATGGACTGTTCCATTGCATCTGAAGTAATTTCTTTACTTCTTGTGTCTTTAATTACATCTAATAAATTTTCTGCAATTGCTACTTGAATTGGTTCAGGCACATATGGCAAAGTCTCTACCTTCTGGGACTCTTGACCACTGGTTATGATAGACGGCAAATTTGCAACAGGTCCACAATTATCATTTTTCCCACCATACACAAGTTTATCCTCCATTGCTGTGTTAGCTGCTTTGGGTAACACATTAGATGATGCAGAATCACCTGTCTCAACTTCTCCTTCTTCACCTTCTAATAGCAAGGTAAAGTTGCTCTGAGCCATGAAAAGCTCCCCATCTACTTCAGCAGTGTCACACTCAGCAGAGTCTTTATTATCCGGCAAGTCACAAAACTGTTGCTCAATGGCATCAAAGTTATATTGAAGCTTAAGAGTTCCTGAGGGATACAACTCATTAAATGAAAGATTCCTAGCCTCTTCTCCTGAACCGTGAGCTTCAAGCTTTTCACGTTCAATCACCTAAAATGAATTAAAGAGAGTAGTTAAAGAATTTTAATATATATTTTAACCTAAAGCACAAAGGTTTTTAATGACCATCTCGCCCTTGATGTGTGCATTTTTAAACATAAACTACATTTGGTATGGCATATACTTATGGGTTTACTTTATAAAATATCCACTTAAGCAATAAGACTTTCTCACTGAATCAAAATAACTAGACAGAAAAAGATTTTGAGATTATGACGGTAATTTAAGTAGAAATTTCATATATATTCCTGGCTAAAAAGACACATTTCCATGACTAAAAAGACAGGTTAAACAAAGCACTGAAAATTATTATGATGCTAACAGTTATGAGAATTAAGGACTTTTTCCATTCTTACCCAAGAAAAAAATTAACTGGAGAAAAAGAAACAACCCCCAAACTGTGCTTTAATTATAATCCCCAACTACCTAACTATCCACACTTTCTAAACAGCACGATCCCCATAAGGTTGAAGAACAATTCACCTACATAAGCTCCCTTGGGCTAGACTCAATCCTCTTCCCTTTGCTGGGGCTGCATAAACCATGAAATTCCTAAGGCTTTCAAGTTCAGTACCTCTCCTGCAAGGGTTTGGTGGAAGGAATGGTCCTTGCATTTACCTTTTGGTAAGGGAAGGGGAGAAAAAGGAGGAGGTAGAAAGTAACAGAGAGATCTCCTGACCAAGAAGGTAGAACATTACCACCCACCTAGACAGTGATATTTTCCCACTCCCCAAACATTCAGTGAGATGACAGACTGGAAATAACCTAGAAATGAGGATTCCCACTTAAACTATGCCCACAATTTTTATTAGCTTCCCAAATGAAGGAAAAGAGACTTTTCCCGCCTATTCCACAGTGAGAATACTCATGAAGATGAATATGGATAACTATGACATTTTTATGAGTTAAGAAATTTCCCAAATTCTATACAATCAGATTTCTATAAATAACTAGAACAGTTGGTTTTTCATGTTAGGTACCCCCCCAAGCCCCCAAATCCTTTCTGGAGTGTACAGCCAGGTCAAATATCATTCTCCCATAAGTATGTTTGGGGAAAGAAAATCCAACTGTGTCCACTTATTTTCAAATATATGCTCTGAAGAGTCTAAATATTATACTCTTCTCTGGAGTAGCCATTATCTGTTTTCTTATGGCTAAAAAACTATTTGAACCAGACAACAAGCAAAATTAAACTGTTAAAATTGTGGCTTCTTTAAAACAGCCTTTTGGTTTTCATAAAAACCAATTTCTTAAAGGATGTATTGTTCTATATTTCAGAATATTTACACACTTTTTTTGAACCCATATTTTTGTAAGTTTTTTTTTATAGTAGTCAAATAAATCAACACATAGGTATGAACCACTGTGTCTTGAACTCTAACCAAACCAAACGGAAAGACTGACAAAGAGTTAAAAAATTAATTTTTTTTACATGAATTTCTTGAGGACTGTCAGAAATTGGAGGCTTTTCTTCTGGTAAGTCAACACTTTCTTTTAGTACAACAACTTCTATTTCATGATCTTCTTTTAAGTTCAATGCTATTTCCTGGTCAAGCCTATGTTCAGAGATAATAGGACTTTCAGAGATAGTAAGCCCAGAGCTTCCACTATCACCAATGACATCGGCCATAGCTGAAAGATAAATAAAAATTAATCTTTTACATTTTAAACTGAAAAATATTTTCTACACACACAATTAAGGAAGCAAACAGGGGGAAAAAAAGGCAACACTGCACTTGAGAATATTATCTTAACATCTAAAAGGAGAAAAGCCTACAATGACTTACATATTAATCTTCTTCAGTATCCTATCATTCAGTTTAAACAATATATATTTACTTTCCACAAACACAAAACACAAGAGAAGATAGATTTCATATTTAAAAATGACTACACTGGTTTTTCTCAACTGGAATATAATTCCTGCCTTTATTGTGAAACTTCATAATGATGACTGATGGAGTTTGGATGCATTGTCCCCTCCAAAACTCATGTGGAATTTTGATCTCCAATGTGGCAGTGTTGGAAACTGATTGAGTCATGGAGGTGGATCCCTCATGAATGGATTACTGCTCTCCCTGGGGGAGGGGGGATTCATGAGTGAGTTCTCGCTCTATTAGTTCCCGCGAGAGCTTGTTGCTTAAAAAGACCCTGGCACCTTCTCTCTCTCTCTTGCTTCCTCTCACTATAGGTGATCTGCTTGAACCCACCGGCTGCCTGCCACTTTCCACCATGAGTAGAAGCAGCCCGAGGCCTGTGCCAGATGCAGCTGTCCCAGAACTGTAAGCCAAATAAACCTCTTTCCTTTATAAATTACCCAGTCTCAGGTGTTTCTGTTATAGCAACACAGAATGGACTAAAACAATGACGGCTGCTTTGAGGAGGCTCAGATGTTTGTTCCTCATTAATCTGAAAATTATAGTCACCAGGTGACTACTAGACAACCAACTCTTTGTTGAGCCACTATAGAATTACATGAGGGACATACAATCTGGGCCTTGATCTCACTGTGAAAAGGAACGGATCTCTCTCTTTTGGCAGAAAGCATTCAAATGGGTACAAATGTACTATATATCACTTAAAAAATAGTAATTTGGGGGCTCACCTAAAAAAAATTGCTTCTTTCATCTTCCTCTTTGCCAAACTTTTGTATATCACTAGCCATCGTAGGCTGTATTTGGGTTTAGTTTGTGAATGACATAAAACACAAAATACCTCATAGGGGGAGGGGGGAAAGATGACTCTGATTAACTTTATTAAAAATCTTTTAGTGTCTAACAAATCAATTGAAAAGTAAAAATCCTAAAAGACCAACTAGGGGGCTGGCCCCATGGCTCACTTGGGAGAGTGCGGCGCTGGTAGCGCCAAGGCCTCGGATTTGGATCCTATATAGGGATGGCTGGTGCACTCACTGGCTGAGTGTGGTGTGGATGACAACGTGCCAAGGGTTGTGATCCCCTTACCGGTCAAAAAAAAAAAGAAAGACCTACTAGGGAAAAATATTTTCATGTTCTGACCAATAATGGGGCTGTTATCCCCAATACGCAAATACTAATAAAATGAAAAATATTTTCCACCTGTCAGTTTCGCAAAGAGGAATGGGAAAACAGGCACTGTACCTTTTATTCATCAGTATATGGGACTAGTATACAACCTTTACTGGAGAAACAGTGAAATATTAAAAATCTGTGCATACTCCTTGACCCAGCAAGCTCGTGTTTAGTTATCTACCCAACAGAAATACTGACATATTGTGCAAGAATATATACAAAAGAACATTCATTGTAGAGATGAATATCAAAACAAAAACAAAAATGTTCACCAATAAGCAAATAGTGAAGCATATCGTAGAAGAGACACACTATTAGAGCCATTAAAAAGGATAGGATCAATCTATATGACTGACATAGAAAAATGTCTTAAACACACTGAATGAAAAAAGAAAAGTTGGGGCCGGCCTGGTGGCGCACTGCTACAGTGCGCCGCTTGGGAAGCGCGGCGGCGCTCCCGCCGAGGGTTCGGATCCCACGTACAGACCGGCCGCTCACTGGCTGAGCGAGGAGCGGGGGCAACACCGAGGGTTGCGATCCCGTTGCCGGTCCCAGTCCGGTACGGGCACGACACTGAGGGTTGCGATCCGTTGCCGGTTGCGATCCGTTGCCGGTCACGAAAAAAAAGACAAAAAAAAAAAAAAGAAAGAAAAGTTGCTTTTTTGATGATGATAAATGTGCTGACAATATAAAAATAATTATTTATAACAGCTAACATTTACTAAACTTTTAAGTTCCAAGCACAACACTTTACATTCAACTGGCTTAATCCTAATAACTCTATGAAATAGTTTTAAAAGGGAATATTAATAGTGACTATTAATATTTTATAGACAAGAAACAAGAGGTCTAACCCATAGTCTTACAGTTAATAAGTGTGGAATAGGGGTATGAACTCAAGCAGTGTGGTTCAAGCCTCTGGGCTCTTTAGCCACCATATTAACTCCTCTTTCAATATATGGAAAAAAATATGCACAGGAAAAAAAATTCAGGAAAAAGATGCTTTAAATTGTTAATAATAAATCCCTAAAATGAGTAGCCCGGCTTTTACTTTAAATGTTAGACAATTATCTCTGGATTATTTTACAATAAGTACATATTACATTCTTAATCATGGGGCAAAAACAGGTTTGCTCGAGCTTGCCTTAAGCCCTGTGTGACAGATAGGTATAACAATTAAGAGCTCGGGTTCTAGAGTCAGATAACAATGGTGTCATCACACAGCATTGTGAGGATTAAATGAGCTAATACATGTGAAATGCTGAGACAAATTCTGGGCATAGACATTCAAGGTGTCTGCTTTCCCTAAACCCAGTTGTAAGCTCGCTGAGGGAAATGTACGTTCCTTATCTCTGCCTAGCCAGGCTTTAACTGAGAGTAGGCATCCTATTTAAAAATGTTCACTGGGCTGGCCCATGGCTCACTCAAGAGAGTGTGGTGCTGATAACACCAAAGCCGCGGGTTCAGATCCCATATAGGGATGGCCGGTTTGCTCACTGGGTGAGCATGGTGCTGACAAGTCAAGGGTTAAGATCCCCTTACCGGTCATCTTTTTAAAGAAAAAAAAAAAATGTTCACTGGATAAAAAATTAAATAAATTCCATACACTTGCTAATTTTCCCGGAGTAAAATCAGTTATTTATGATTTTCTAATAATGAAAAGCTAGTCTTAGCCCTAAATTATCACAAACACAGAATAAAAATGAAAGTTGCTCCATAGGAGATAGATGTCTGAGTCTAAGATCAAAAAGCAGGTACGTAACCTGGCTGTATACACGTAATTTACTTTGTTCTTTCATGTTCCAAAAGAAAATATGTCCACAAACACTATTCTAAGACTTCCACTACTAAGAGCCTCCGAATGCCTTATTAGCGGCCCACTATTTTTTTTTTCCCCTTTGGGCAGTTGGCCATTATGGATATCTGAACCCTTGACCTCGGTATTACACCACCACACTCTAAACCAACTGAACTAACTGGCTAGACCAGCAACCCACTATTTTGACAGCTGACATCTCTCTTTAGAATGCTTTTATACCAGGGAGGCTGATCAGAGAGGAAGAACTGAGAAAAGAAAATCGGGATAAATAGGTTATTTTGTTCCAACAATAGAAATCCTTTTGTTCAAAATACTAAAATGAAATGATCTTAATGTCAAAATAATACATACATTTATTATTATCTGCTCCAACTGTAGAGGTGCAGGTTTCAACAGATATTAATCCTTCATCCAAAACTGGTAGCTTGGACTTCAGGGTAAGAGTTTTCCTTCAGAAATAGAAATATATACTTTAGTGTGTAGGAAGATGCCCTCTGCTCTAATCTGCGTTAACCCTGTTGCCTCTCTTATTTGTCAATCTGTTGATGAAAACTGAGGTTCAGAGAAATCGATAGCAGTCAAGCCCATTTTGAATAATATTATAAAATTTACAAGTGAATTTAGAAACAAAGCTGTACTTAGTTTTCCTATTTTCTAAAACTTTACTTTTTTGAGGCAATAATGGCATGGGCCTCAAAGTATAAATAATTTTAAATGCTTGTCAGCATAAATTACACAAGCCAATTTTCAATCATCTGTGGCCATATTCTTCAAACACGTTTGTTAAATATTATGGAATATTTCCTATATACTCACTAGAACTGGGTTCAATATTTTAATGCTGAAGTGAAATAGTGTGATAAATAACTCAGAATGAGAGGCCAATGGGACTTATATTAATATACGTTATGAAAATAAGTTCGGGAATACGCTGATAGTGGTGGTCCTTTACTATTATGAGCTGGCCTTTCCCCAAAACCCAACTAAAGCATGCTGATTTTTAAAAATAGGAAAAAAGATATTATAAAGTAAATTCAAAAAAAGCAGGTATTTGAAACACACACACATTTATTTATAGATTTTTGTAAGACATCCCAATCACAATGTTTATAATAAGGATAACTGAGAACCAACAATAAATCTCCACAAAATATCAAATATGTTTATACTTTAAAAGGAACTAGTTTGCTAAAATGATTAATATTCACTACGAAGTTTCTTCTCACGTGATTACTTTCTGCTTTGTGATTGTTGCAATTAACTGTCCATTTCACTAAATAATATTAGTTTTCATTAAAATTAAAAAAACATTAGATCTAACAGGAAAATCCTTTCATATTGGTGTTTCCCACTTTTTACATGAAGGCCTGATGAAGATTCCAGCTAATCTGAATTGCTCTTCTCAGAAGTGAAACACGTGATGAGTACAATGTATGAAAAGCAACTATCGTGATACTGAATTTTCAGAGTAGTTTGTGAAGTCATTCCCACTATTTATAAAGTAATAAACCATTTAGTCTAAAAATAATCATGTTTTATGCGAGTTAATTTTACTAAATTACCCTTACTAGTTCTTGATAATTGAAGGTATCACTTTTTTGTATCCTCTACGACAGCACTAGTCAAAGTGCTAATAGGCAATCTATGTCCACTCTTGCCATAAGACAAGGAGCTTTTGCCAGAAGGTGAACCAACTACTTCACTAACCATACTGATTAGTTTAGCTGACTTTTAGTAAAGGAAGCAGTGCACTGATTTACAGTCTAAGGCAAGCTGCATGTCTTGTTGCACATGATTAACTATTTGGAACTGGCACCAATCTGTCAGACCACGCTTTGAACAGCACTGCCCTACATCATCTAGTATATTGTTTTTCCTGGTACAAAGTATCAATAAGATTATTTGGAAGCATAATATTTCAACTAGTCATTAAAAAACAAATGAAAACTTAGCTAGAGTTTTGTACTGACTAAATGGTAGGAAACAAAACTGTCTCTGAGTCATGCTCCACTTTGGTCCTAATAGGATCCGTGTGCCTGATCATCCTGAAACCACTGAAAAGGGGAGTACGTGGACGAACACATAGTTGTGAGTACACTTTTTGGTCATAGACAAAAATAAGATCACCGAAGAATATTAAAAGAGTTCTGCCTCAATTCATCATGTCTCAATATATTCAGGAAATATCTAGCAGCATTTTAAGACTTCATGGAAACTACTGAATAACACACAATTGTACAACTGAACTTCATGAAAGACAGTATTAGCAAAATAAAGATGTCAAAGATGTCAATAAGGTCTAAAACGCATAGAATGTTTTACAGCCAGTTCAGTTTCATTAAGCTTCTTTTTAAAAGTATTTGAATTTTTCTCCATAAACTTACCCTTCATGGATTGTTGGCACACGAAGAGAAGCTTCAACTCCTTGGATGGGGCTTAAGTGATTCAATTCTGAAGATGCCTCCTCTGCAACTAAGAGATCCTTTGTTTCTGCATTTTCTAAAGTGCCTGTAAATCATACAGATAAGAATATTATTCATGCTAAACATTTAGCAATTACTCATGGTCTTGGACTGTTGCTTTTTAAAAAGTTGTTGGGTCTGCTTTTTTATTCTCTTATGTTTGCTGTCTTGGCATCAGACTGCCGGCGGTTCCTTCTTCTAATTCTCTGAGCCTAGCTCAAGAGTCTCCCTTCATCTCCCAGTTTTCACTTTTGGCTTTATTAGGCACTATTGCAAGTCTTCTACATATATTAACTCACTTAATGCTCAACATCCAAAGAGGTAGGTGAGAAAACTGAAGCATAAAGTTACACTGCTTACCCCAGCTCACAAACCTTACTTAGTTAAGGAGCTGAGCTACGATTCAAATTTAGCCTGATTCACTTTGTGTTATATGAAGAATTCACAGAAAGATTTGTATTATCATTTAATTCTATTTTCCCACAGACTTTTTGAAGTACCCCCATACTATCCCCTAGAAAAAACAATAAAGATTTCTATTTGAGACTGCCTAATACTGTAGGAATAATCAATGAAGATACTGTTATGAACATTCCCATCTAATATTTACCATTTAAATATTTTATTACAACATGGCACATCAAAAGAGCAATGTAAATTTCTAGATATATGCTGTTTATGAGCATAGTCCCAAGGTTATGGGAGCAATTAATAATGCTTATGTTTACTAAATAAAGACATTATAGTCCAAACTTCACTGAACTCCCATCTTAAGAAACCTTAGTTTAGCCTAGGCAGAAAATATTTCCCAAAATAAACTACTTATGAAACAGACTTCTATATAAGTGTTTGGTTGTACAGATTTAAAGTTAGCAGATTTAGCAGTTAACTTTAAATAAACTTGTTAAAACTATATATGGGATATGAAACATAAAAACAGGCTTAGTTTTCTTATCTGCCAATTCTAAGGCAGGTCTCTTCCCTTCTCGGTGTTCCTCTGGCCCCTCCAAATTCCTTCCTGGATAGCATTAACCAAACTGCATTATAAATACTTATTTGTCAATAATAGTCCAATACATGACATGTGGGCAGGTGCCATGTTTACTCACTGTTTAATCTTCAACATCTAGCACACACACACACACACAGGAGGAGCTCACTGGAGCACATACATTAAGAACTCAAAAAAATTTTTGATAGGTAAAGGAATATAAAGATGATAAAGTCATGGGCCTTTGGACATTTATTTTGATTGTCCAGTGATTATTATGGAGAATACAGAGTAGAAGGAAATTCTTGGTTTCTGAGCAGAATTCTAGAAAGTTAAGGCTGCTGGGTAAGGTAAAAATTGCAGTAACAATCTAGCCTCTAAAGTTAGCATTATTACTTTTCATGCTTTCCAAAAGGCCTTTTAAGTCAAACTACGGCATCGTACATTTCCTTCCTTAAATGTTACCGTTCTTTTCCAAATTTCATTGCCAAATAAAAAGTAACACACACAAGTTCTCCCCTCAAATGTCGTATCTACTTATGAAACAATGCAAGCCACACTATAAGCTGAACGAGTAAGACTTGTGTATTCTGTCTAGGACCCAGTATGCTGTGAGCATATAATAATTATTTAATCCTGATGCTTTTTCCTATGGTGTGAACATTTCTATTACAAATTTTATTAAGGAACATCAATGGCGATTTTGAATATTTAGAAATGAGTTCCTACCCATTTGCTTCTCTGAGTCTGGAGGAATTATTTCTGACTGAAACACATCTTTATCACTGTTCTTCTCCATCTGTACAGTTAAATTAGTAATTAGTTCAGTGGAAGAGCCTGCCGGCTTAGAGGCCAAGAGAAACATATCTTCGAAGTCTCCCGGTGATAGCGCATCCTGATACTCTAAGGTAGTCTGGTCTGATCTGGTTGAAGCATTGCTGTTTTCTTTGCTCACATCCAGTTTCTCTAAACTTTGTGAGGATGTATCATGTGACCTCACAGACATTTCATGATGGTCCTTTTCAAGGCTATTCAGGGAAAAAGGTGTGGTCTTATCTTTGCTCTTCAACCAATCCGTTTCTCCTGGAACTCCACATTCATGGAAAGATGTAGTAACAAATATCTTTGTTTTGCTATCATCTGCAGTCTATTAAGATTTTGAAAAGAAAAAAAATTAACTAGTAAATACCTTGTAGTACCACAAGTCAAGTCTAGTCCTAAGTTATCCATCTCAATCATAACCACCCTTTCTGTGCTCTGTACTTCTCTAAACTCTCTCCTTAATCAAAATTCACTTGTTCCACAATTAAAAGTTAATGGTTGTTAATGTTTACGTAGTTGGTAATACATTAGTATTTTCAGATGACTAAAGGGAGAAGAGGCTAGATGACCAATAATCACCAAATGGGTTCCTATTAACCTACAGTGGATTTCTGAAGACACACCCTCCTAAATAGACAACCAATTAGAAACTTAATAAGAAAAGCAACACAACATAAAATAAAAAAAAAAAAAAAAAAAAAAAACCTAAGAAATAAACAAAAAAACATTGAGAATTAGGAGGTCTGGGTTCTAGTCCCATTTTTGCCACCAAATATCTAGTTGACAATATGTAACTTCCTTGGTACTTCTGAGCCTTATTTTCTTTACCAGTAAAACAATGGGTTTGGTTTAGCCAATGCCCTAAAGTTTCTTTCAGAACTAATGTGTTTTCTAATTTCATGATTATCTGCAAGATTGTGCATAAAAATCTACAGTAATATCATTTAAATTGATTTAACTTTGTACTTGTAGGAGCTAATATACTCCTAATATAATATCTTTCCTCCCTATGATTATCATACTTACTCCAGTAGTCCATTCTGTGTCCATGTCTTCTTCCACAAATGAAATTCTAGTTTCTTTAAGTCGTAAAGGAGGAGTGAGAGACCTTCTAGGTGATAGAGAAGGAGATGCTAAAGGTGTTGATCGAAGACCAGACCTTAGGATAGACTGAGGAGTGAACTCGGCAAATCCCGAAGTAACTGACATGACCAAACTTTTAGCTTTCTATGACAAACAGCAAATATAATTCCACCATTAATATTTGTAAAAGGCACTTACATAAGGACAAACTGGGTCAACTGAGTCACAGTAGTGGTTGTATTCTCATCTCCAATAAACACATGAATACAAATTTTTATTCCAGATTACTACCAAAGCTCACAAAACATAAAATTGCATCCATAATCTAAAGGTCTTGGTTATTCAAATTTAAATTCAACTAAAAAATAAAATGCCAATTAGTAAGAAATTATTTAACAAATAATGCTTACAAAACTTTTGCTAGGTAAAAGAGATGATAGTTATCTGGTGAACAGAACCTAGATTAATTATAGGAAGCTAATCTAAATTAATAATGACACTGATTTCAGTATGTTTTAGGAAAAAGTAAAATTTCATCACATGAATCCAACAGTAACTTAATTACTTAACTAGAACCCTCTAAAGATTTAGTATAGTAAATAAAAATAATTTGAAATTAGCACATTAGTAACTTAGTAGAAATAATTCCTTCACTTAACTTGCCCTCTAAAGGCCTAGTAAACAGATTACTAAATCTCATTAGATTAATGAATTCTGCTAGACATGTTATAAGACTATACTGATTTTTTTTTCCCTAGGCTATTTTGGCAGCAGGTACAAAATTATTCCCTGATTTCATTTCATTTGAACCTAGCTGTAGATAATATGAAATGTGATTGTTTTTAATAGATAAAAAAAGTTAATAAGTGTCAGGAACCTCACAATTTTATCAACCTTTTTGACTTCTTTTAATAACTGCTTTAGGAATACCATTTATTGAGGTATCTTATATTCAACTTGAAAAGTAAGAATTCCCTAGCTTCACTATAAATGCTGGATATCCAGAACAGAGAACCCAGAAATAATTTTTGTTAAAGTTAAAAAAAAAAAAAAAAGCTTCTGGGATTCAATGCAGAACCCTGGACAAGGAGCTAAGAGATAACATACACAAAAACACTTTGAAAATGTAAAGGTAAAAGACCACTGTTAACAGTCATCACAATTTCAGTTTTGTGGTTTCTCAGCTAAAAAGTTATCAGGAGGGAAGAAGAAAAGGCCATTTAAAGACAGTAGGAAGGAGTAACAGTTTATACTGCCATCAAAGGAGTCAGAAAATTTAAATAAAAATAAATGTTAAAACTAAAAAGCATTTGATAGAAGGAAAAAATAACAGCATATGGTACCAGCAATGGAATTTATGTAAAAATAAAAACAAACTCAAGACCTTGAAAGCATTTTGCAAAGGACAAAGGCCAATTTTTAATAGCCACACAGAGTCTTGCATTACATTCAAGTCTACAATGTTGTTAACTTTAGGCCAGAAAGGGTAAATTTACAACTCCGTTCAAGAAGATGTAAAAATACGGTATTTTGGAAAGATGTCCATAAAAAATAAAAAGAAAAAATACTTAAAGCTGTTGACTTCCCAGAGATATCAGTTATAAATAGCTACTTGAAAAATAAGAATTCCCTAGCACCACTATGAAACGCTAGATTTGTAATACCAACCTTAACTACAAGAGGAGTTTCAAGTAAATGTAATTCTGAAGCTCTGGAGGTGTTTTGACGTGATCCTTTCAACTGTGAATTTAATGGCAACAAACTGGATGCTAGGTACAAAGGAGATCTTGTGGGGGGTTGATGAATAAACCCCAAACATTCAGAAGGCTGGGGAACAGGATGAACAACCAAATCCAGCAGTCTGTAATCAGAATATACATATGAATAGAAAAATCCTAGTAACTTCTACTGAGTTATACTGAAGAAATAAAAGAATTTAGTATACCATTTAATTATTCAGACTTCTATATTCACTGGTAAATATGATAACTAGGGCCGGCCCAGTGGCGCACTGGATAGTGCGCCGCTTAGGAGGCACGGCAGCGCTGCCGCCCGAGGGTTCGGATCCCACATACAGACCGGCTCCCGCTCACTGGCTGAGCGAGGCGTGGGAGCAACACCGAGGTTTGCAATCCCGTTGCCGGTCCCTGGTCCGGTACGGGGGCAACACTGAGGGTTGCAATCCGTTGCCGGACACGGAAAAATAAGACAAAAGACAAAAAAAAAAAAAAAATAAATAGTTGAGTCATAATAACTTAGAAAACTAAAATTAATAAAATGTGAAGTTTTACTCTAATAATAAATTTCTAAGTAAAAGCTTATCACAGCAGGGGATTTAGCAGTAGGTCATAATAAATCTGAAATTAAATGTGAAGTAATCATATAATATTTTTAAGAGAAAAAAAGATGTATCTGGACTTAGAAATACAATGTAGAAAGATAAAGAAAAGTTCCTCTTATCTAGTGTGAGCCAGGTCTTAGTCCAACTTAGAGTTCCATACTTTGAGGATTCAGAGAGTTTACTGTGTTGAGAAATGAACCAGAGAGAGAATGAAGTCTGGAGCCGTTTTGTCACAGGGGCACTTCAAAAAGTTCATGAAAAAATAGAATTAAAAGATGACAAGAGTCCATGAACTTTTTGAAGTATTCTGGTAGTGTATCTTAAAAGTCAGGAACCAAATAATATATTTATACTCAGTATGTTTTTCTTTAACCTCTGGATGCTTTTTCAGCAGAAGTACCTCATAACATAAGCAATGAGTCCAACTGTTTACCTGAAAAACTTGAATAATTACACTAGAATGTGTCCAGAATGTCTGTAGCTCAGCCAGTGAGCGGGAACCGGTCTGTATGTGGGATCCAAACCCTCGGCAGGAGCGCCGGCGCACTGTAGCAGTGCGCCACCAGGCCAGCCCATGAAGAAAATTTTAAGTACACTATACCAACTGATATAAAATTTCTTAAAATTAGTATGCTGCTGGGCCGGCCTGGTGTCGCACTCGGTAGAGTGCGGCGCTTGGGAGCGCGGCGGCGCTCCGGCTGAGGGTTCGGATCCCATATAGAGACCGGTCCACTTGCTGGTTGAGCGCGGTGCGGGTGCGACACCGAGGGTTGTGATCCCGTTGCTGGTCGCGGTACGGGCGCGACACCGAGGGTTGCGATCCCGTTACCAGTCACGAAAAAAGACAAAAAGGGAAAAAAAAAATTAGTATTCTGCTGCCCAAATTATAATAAAAAGCAAGAATTAAAAAATTGTCTTAAGAATTTAAAATAGTGAGGGCTGGCCCATGGCTCACTTGGGAGAGCGTGGTGCTAACAACACCAAGCCAAGGGTTAAGATCCCCTTACTGGTCATCTTTTTTTTTTTTTAAAAAAAAAGAATATAAAATAGGGTCTGTAAAATTTTAAAGATAATTAAATTAAAGGACTGGCCAGTTAGCTCAGTTGGTTAGAGTGTGGTGTTACACCACCAAGGTCAAGGCTTTGGATCCCCGTACTGGCCAGCTACAAAAAAAATAAATAAAAATTAAAATTACAGTTACAATTATCATCTAACATTGTATCTTTTAAAATGATTTAGTAAACTCTTACCTAGAAATCTGCTGTGATACTTTTGAAATTGGTGTTCCGATGAATGCCTCAGGTAGCTTGGGATCTGGGAGTGAATATACTATAGAAGATGATTCTTCTATATTAAGACTACAAAGAAAATAAAAATATAACTTTTGATTATGTATCACGAGGAGCACTGATAAAAATGCTATTAGGTGGGATTAGATGGGAGAGAAAAGGACTTTTATTTTATCCTTTACACATTCCTGCATGACTTACAAATAACAATAAATATGTCACTTTTCAATTTAAAGAAAAAATATTCTTCTTGTAAGAAAAGTAGCCAACATAAAAAGAGTTTTTCCTTTTTATGTACACTAATAAACCAAGGCAATGAGGGGGTGGATTGTCATCGGCTGATGATGTCAAAGAAAGATTAGCAAGTAGCACGACTACAGAAGATGTAAGAAAAACATACCTATTGTAAACTGAGATATTATTTTTAGGTTCACTGCTTGCCCAAACCTCTCCAATTTTGGATAACACATTATTGATGAGCGCAGATCTTGTTACCACATTTCCTGTTACGACTTGCTTTGGAACTGCTGATAATGGCTTGGGTCTAGAAACTACAATAAAGAATGTAAAATTTAATTGCATCTTAAACAGGATTTTAATAAAAGAATATGGAAAAATGACTGGAAAACACAGATTACACAATAAGAGTACATAAAACTATATTTGGTTTAGTTACAGCTACACGGAAAGTTAACCATTAGGGCTTTTAGGAGATGGCAAAAAAATATTCTATATGTTTTCTAAATTCATTTGAAACAGAAAGAGTTCCTTCATTCTGCACTACACGAGTAAAGAAAGTACAAAAAAATTCCAAGGAAGCTTTAAATTTCTTGGGATAGCGCAGCCAGTAAAAAATCAAAACAGTGATGACTCTGAGTATGTATTAGCAAAAGCGAGCTAAATTTAAGATAGTGATGATTTCAAGTAATCATGCAGTATCTTTTCTAGCCCAATAGTTTATGACATTCTTCAATGAAATCTCACCTTCTCGAAGAACTGATGGTGTTGACAGACGGTAAGGCTTAGCTCGTTCAGTGGCTAATTTTCGCTGGACTCTAGGAAGGATTTTCCCATATTGTTCTAATATAGAATTTCGAGCCACTGATCTCTCCCGCAAACGAGGATCACGATCATTCTATTGGACATATCATAATTTGCAAAAATTAATTTCCAAAATGTTAGTTATATACTTATAGTTATATATTTATCATTTAAAATATAATTATAAAGAATATCTTCCTCCTACCTATTCATTTTTCCAAAATGACTTCACCTGCACACCTAATTGCTTCACTAATTCCTTACACATCAATAAATTCCAAATCTCTGCCACCAAGCTTTGATCCTTCACAATTAATAAAAACGGTTATCATTTAAGCATCTACATGTGTCAGGCTACCTGTTACTTCACTCACACTTCTGTGCATCCTCACAACAACCTTGATATCATTTTACAGATGAGGAAACCAAGGTTCGGGGTGTGTCTCAAGCACATAGCAAATTAAGAATCAACCTGACCCTTGAAGTCCAGTGTTCTTTGCACTGTGTAACTCCTAATGCTATCCTTTACCTCTTCCTCAGGTTTTCCCTGAGTGAAGCAGTTAGTCTGGCAAGACTGTGGGTAGACATCAGAACATAAATGGCATATATGAAAGGATTAGATAAGTTAAAATACCCTGTTCCCAACTCTGCTACAGAGATGAGAGGATTCTCCAAGTTCAAGATAATGCAAAGCACAGTGGCTATCAAATAAATGGCAAGCTCTTATATATAACAAACCAAAAACGTCTCCAGTTTTTCCTATTCTCTTGTCCTCCAAAATAAAACAACTTTAATCATACCATGAGATTAATCTTCAGAGTTTGGTTCAGCTTCAAGGCTGGAACGTAATTGGCACGCTGCAAATGGTGAACTAAAAGGAATTCATGATTCTGAACACTGGCACTGGACTGCAAAAATTTCACTAAACATTCCTAAAAAGAACAAAATAGATTTGTAAACTATCAGTTTATCCTGAATTTCTGACAAGTTTACACTGATAAGTGATTACCTGTTCAGTGTCTGTAAATGGTAACTTCAGTAAATCCTCCATTAAGCCCACTTCCTGACAGACTTTGTACGTGTGCTTCAGTAACTCCTCTATATTCAACCTATTAGAATGCTGCCGTAATAAACTCCAGGCCTCAACCATGCACCTGAAATTGTTTATAAAAGTTTAGTTTTAGAAAAGCTATTTAAAATGTTCAAAACAAGTAATCTACCTATAGAATCTCAAAGATACTTTGTATATGTAATAGAAAAGTAAAAATTCATTGAATACTAATCGCTCCAAAATGAATCTTAGCAATAATGTCAACAAGATGACAAGGCATCATTAAAGACTTAATTTTGGGCCGGCCCGTGGCTCACTCGGGAGAGTGCGGTGCTGATAAAGACTTAATTTTATGTTGTCTGTATTATTATTTAAGTGTAAAATAATAGAAAAGCAAATAAGGTATACAGAAGTTCAAAGAAGACAAAAAACTAACGTGGCCTGGACAGAACTGAAACACTCGTGCAGTGTGATAGAGAAAAATCAGGCTTTTAGGGAAGTGAAGGCATGAGAAGAAAGGGAAAGAAAATGAGTGAAGGCCAGGAGGTGGAAACAAGCATGGTGTGTTCACAGGGAGGGGAGGGTATAACTAAGTAGCAGATTTTGATTGCTCTGAAGCAAGATCTGACTGGAGAACATAGGTGAAATCCGACAGTCTCTGACACCATTTGGAAGTGCCAAGGTACCTTCTGTGGGCAATAAGGTCATTTAAATGAAGCAGTGTTTCTCACATAGGAGTCCCCCAGAGTCAGATGGGGATTCTGAGAACTTAAAAAAAAAAAATGCCAGTGTTAAACTCATACCCCACTGATAGAATTGTCTTGGAGGTCCACTTGGGTATATCTACGAAAATTAAAATTACATATAGGCTGTGACCCAACAATACCACTGAAAGAAATATGCTCTACAAAAAACTCAGCAAAAATGCATAAACCTTTATGTATAAGAATATACAGTGATACAGTGGACTATTATGTAGCCCTACAGGAGGCAGATAATACATTAACTTGGAAAATCATGATATAATAAGTTAAAACGCAGGTTTAAAACAGTATAAACAGTGACAATTAAAAAAATTAACCTATAAACAAAACCTATAAATGTTTATGTATGTATTTAAGTAGATAAGAAAAAGTTCTGAAAGACTGACAATGACTAATCTGGCAGTTAAAATTTTGGGGACCGAACCCATGGCTCACTCAGGAGAGTGCGGTGCTGGGAGCGCTGAGGCCACAGGTTCGGGTCCTATATAGGGATGGCCGGTGCGCTCCCTGGCTGAGCGCAGTGCGCGCGACACCAAGCCAAGGGTTTTGATCCCCTTACTGGTCACCAAGAAAAAAATAAATAAATAAAAATTAAAAAAAAATTTTTTGGAGGGGCTGACAACTTTCAAGGCAGAATAAAACTGGCAAGTTGGTAATATAAAAGCTATAGCAATTAATATTCAGAATTAAAGTTCATGTGAGGAAATTTTGGCAGCACTGTCTCAGACTTCCTGCGGATAGTTTACTCAGAGAAGCAAAAGGCACCCACCCACTCAGAGAAACAAACAGCAGGTCAGGGCCATCTTAATTTCGTTGTTCTGGGACTAGAACATTTTAATATATTCCACAGCCCTTGTAAATGCCAACCCAACATTTAAGATTATTCCCTAAAAATTTACATCTGAAACTGCCTTGTACTTCTCTTTCTACCAGAACAGGCATGACAGTATGGTTACCATAGAACTTTACTATATAACTTGAGTGTAGAAGAAAGGTGTATATCTGTGAACATGTGGTATGTACAGAAATAAAATGTAATAATTTCTTTTTTAACCTAAATCTGGAAATCTTAAAATGAGCAGAACATTTCTGTATAAAGAAAAATAAAGAGGAGATAAGATAAATACCTTATAATTAATTTAAAAAACCATACAAAATTATGATAAAATCATGGTATCTGCTGAATTTTATTTACAATGGGTATACTGAGGGCTGGCTGGTTAGCTCGGTTGGTTACAGTGTGGCCTTGTCAAGGGTTTGGTTCCCCATACCAGCCAGCTGCCAAAAAATAAAAAAAATAAGACGGGTATATGGAAAATTCACTGCACCATTTTATTTTTGTGTATGCTGGAATATTTTTCAACAGTTAATTTCCCTAATGTATAAAGAGCTCCTACAAATCAGTAGGAAAAATCCCAACAATACACAGAAAAAGAGGCAAAAGACTTAAATGGGCAAGTCACAAAGGAAATAGCTCTTTATGAAAAAGATACATTTTCTTATTGTTATAGTAAGACTAAACATATTAATATTACCATTCTCACCTATTAGATGGATAAGCATCAAATATCTGATACACACTGTATTGATGATAAAAGGCATGGCATAAGGCAACTAGGGCGAGGAGGATATAACCCCCATGGAGGGCAATTTGTCCTATCTGTTAAAATTACAACTGCAACTATCCTTTCACCCTAGGATTTTATTCTACATACAAAATAAAGTTGCACATGTGCAAAATGTGTGATTACTCATCATGGCATTATTTAAAATGGCAAAAGATTGAAAATAACTACATGTTCATTAAGGGGAACTACCAAATAAATAATGGTGCATCCATCCACACAATGAACTACTATGCAACAGGAAGCTCAGAGCTGGCCAGTTGCTCACTCAGAGTGTGGTGCTGATCACACTAAGGTGAAGGGTTTGGATCCCTCTGTCAGCCAGCTACCAAAGAAAACAAAACAGGAAGATCTTTATGTATTGTAATAAAAAGAACTAAATTAAGAGAAAAAAGCACACTGCAGAAGGGCATGCAGTATTTTTTTTTTAAGGGGTAGGAGGAAACATACGCATTTGCTAACATTTGCCTGCAATTATTAACAATGACTGGATACCAGGAGGAAACTTAGGAGGCTGAGAATTCACTCTGTTATCATTTTCAACCTCTTTAATGTTGAAGCACGTATATATATTGTTAAAAAACAAAACAAAAAAACCCTCCATATGCTTGACTCTCCTCTCCCAGCCCATGGACATATTTTTTAGTTTTCCACTTTAAAATGTGATACATATTCCCAGTCAAGCAGATATACTAGTGGGAGTATGAAATTATTTATGACTTATCAAATATTAATCTGATAACAATATATAAAATATTCTTAAGAGCCAAAGACAAACAATGTCCTTTCCAAGCCAGTTTCCCCACAGCAGGAAAAAACATAGTTACCTCCAACTTCAAGAAACCCAATGCCAACACATAACTTTTAAAACAAGTCCCCAAACTTCTCACTATTCTCCTGCTTCCTATGGTAGAAAGTGATAATGCTGGAAAGAACAGTAAGAATATTATTTCAACTGATGAAAGGCTACAAGTGTGTTGGCAGTAAAAGATATGTCATTTCAATAGGAATGCACGGGGTTTCTTGGCAATACACAGAGAAGATAGCCTGAAAAATTCTCCTGTGACAAACTCTCTAAATATACTAGACTGAATACGAACAAACTTTTGAAATGCATGGTGGAAAACACAATGAGAAAGATTCCAGAGAGGTAAACAAGCAACCACTGATTTCCAGTGACCAGAGTATAAGTAAAAAGATTGGGAAAAGGTAGACAGTATTTAAATAACAACAGAACGGGGTTTCCAGTCAAGATGGCGGAATAGATGGTCCCCTGCATCACTCTCTCCCACAAATCAATCAATTTACAACTATATAACAAAGCAACAACAGCCAGGCTGGGGCTGCTATAGCTTAGGGGAAGAGGAGGAGAGACCTAAGGAATGCATGAAGGCAGGAGAAGCCATGATGAGAGAAAGAAAAAACTGCTCTGACCATTTCCTACTGTGGCTGCTTTAAGGCTGGAACTGCTGAACACCGCACTGTGCCCTTCGGATGAAGTAGCTTGGAGACGGCAGAGGAGAAGAGGGCCTTTAGGGCCCCCAGGCCCACAAGACCTCTAATAGAGTTCCCGTGGACACACACAGGAGCGAGGAACCACAACAACTGAAAAAATGGAGCCACTCAGAGGCCGATGAGTCATCACAAGGGACTGGTGCACAGCCATCCCACAAGACATGTTTGCAGCACAGGCAGTGGGGGAGACAGTCCCACCAGGAGAATGCTGGGGCACAGCAAGGACAGCTAATGTGCATCCCAATCGGTGCAGGACCACTCAAAGGAGACTGGTCAGGAAGATAGAATTGCATGGGGTACGGTTTGATGAAAAGACTCAGGCCCAAATCAGAGTTACTACACAACCCAGGTGCACCAAGTCTCTGGAGAGCCAAAAGTACCTATAAAGTCAACCATTATAACTTGTGCTGCACAAAAAGCCCTCCCTAGGGAAGCAGCAGCAAAGCAGCAATTTAGCTCAACCACAGAGCTCAAGTACTGGTCCCAACAGGAAGTTCCCCCACATTAGAAGCAAGCAAAGGACAAAAAATTAGTTCTGGCTCAGACACATGGTGAGCGCCTTGCCTCGGTCCACCTAGGGACGTGGAGCGGGGACCAGACCCCGCCCCCAACAACAAGGCACACGCCAGTGCCAAGGAGCATGCCAGAAAAATCACCTCCATGTGGGTGGCCCACCACAGCCACCACAATAACCATGGCTGCCGTGAAAGCGGCTAGATGCCTCAACCACCACGCAGATGGCCTTCCAGCCACTGGAGTGCATTGACAGCAGAGATAAAAGAAAAGGATGTCTCTCTCCACAAAGCCCATTCCAGAGTGAAAGAAGAAGCGTCTGCTC